AAATGTCCCCATATGTCATGAGAACACAGCAGAGTGTGTGCTTGTGTGGGAACGGAGCAGCTGCTGCAGTCGGGACACATCAGCAGCTCATCGGTCTGCAGAGCGCTGACCCGGTCGCCGCTGTCTGGGCCCGTTACGTCTCACGCTGTGGTAAACTGTCTCCTGCTGCCGTCCTCACAGTCAGGAAAACCAGGACACACTGGTCTCAGGCCAGTCATTGGAAACTATTTGACAGAGCTCTGGGGAGGAGAAGGAGGAGGTGGGAAGGAGGTCCAACTGCTCCTTCGGTTCTGAGGTCAGGCTGGACCTGAAGCTTCCTGGTTTCTGGGTCACCGTCTGGTCAGAACTGACCAGAAGCTAAAGGTTTCTGATGATCCCAGAGATTCCAGAATCGACCCGGACCTTCTGGGCTTCTGATTGGCTCGTGACTAACAGTGATGGGTTAGGGTTACTGACGCCGTTACCTTTTTTAGTAACGAGTAATCTAACTAATTACTTTGACTATAACGCAGTTACTATTGCCGACAACCCGTTACTGCGCGTTACTCAGGTCGCACAATAAAGCTTTGTTTCATGCTAGGACTCGTGCGCGCCGCGTCATGACAGAGGGGGGGATGTGATTGGCTGATGGATAGAGAGATTCCGTCGGTCAGTTGGGTAGGTGGGTGTTTCTGCTGGTGGGGGTTAACGTACAGCACACACACAGAGAGATCCATCCATATATATATATATGTATATGCATGTATGTATATACATTTCAAAATCAGAACACCTTACCTATAATAGTTCAGAAGGACATAAAAATGATCAAGTGAAATAAAGATGCTCTTTGAACTTTAAAGAGTGAGAGACAGTAAAGGTTTATAACTCTCCCTCTTTATAAAATAAACTTCACAGGTCGCAGATTTAAAGCCGTTTATTTTAAACGTAGCTCCCAATATGTTCTTAATAAAGTAAGATCCTCTATCTGCTCTAGTTGGACATTGCTGCTAATAAATTTAGGTTTCTCAGCCAAATGCAGGATATTGTGTCAATCTGGGGGGCGGGGGGGATGAAGCTAATCTGCTCAGGTGTGGATCTGCTCACCTGCTTGGAAGAAGCAGCCAATAGACAGCTAGCATCTCCAGAGCTCAAGATGTCAGCTGCGTTGTATCGCGTCACTTAGACCTCGCTTCTGCTTAGTGTTTGAAAACCTGCCGTTTAACTGATTTTGGAAGTCTGTCGATGTTAAGTCACCAAACATGGCTACCCCCCCCCCCATGCTGCTGGGTTTTCCTCTGAGAGGAAGAAGAAGAAGAATCCTTGTTTGCTGACTGAGCGATTCACCCACCTTATGACGACCGACTGAATTTCAGACATGTTTGATTTCCTCCTGACCTTCTGATTCCTGATGGGGGGGTCGGTCGTTGGAGGCTGACCGCCCCTCGTTACCCCCTGTTCACTACATCGTGCACGATTGGAAAATCGTCCCGAAAAGGTTCAAACATGGCACCGAGTACGCCCGGTAAATCAGCAGCAGCTGCAGGAGCTGTTTGCCGACTGGATCCTGTTCATCATCTGGTAAAATTCTCTCACCTCATGAGGATTCATAAATATTTTCCTCTCTCATCGTTATCAGTTTGTAGGGCGGCCATGTTGGCGTCACTCGCCCAGGTTGGTCTGGACCATCTGAACGATTGATGCGGCTTCACCTTTTCTTACCGTCTGTGTCTCTGTTGGCTCAGAGTAGCATGACGGGCGGCTGCTCTGACCTTTCAAAGCTGGGGGGCGGAGCCTGATGTCATGTGACCCTCCTCTCTCTCTCTGCAGGCCTATGGCTGGGCGTTGGAGGGAATGCGTCAGCTGGCTGGACTCTCCATGGAGGACTGCATGCTGCCAGACAAATGCCGCGCTGTGATTGGCTTCCTGGAAGACTACCAGTCCAATCACCCACCAATCCCAGAGAGCCGTTTCCAGAGGATGAAGGCGGAAGCAGGCGAGCTGCGGGGCGAGAGCGGCCTCCGCCAGTGGAGCTTCGCCTGGTCCAAGTGTCAGGAGGCCAAGAAGATGTTTGACAGGAAGATGGAGGCGGCGGTCAGCACACGAGACTCCGCCCACAGGCACCGCTCCAACTCTGTTGTCAGCACAAGCTCCGCCTCCTCCAGGAAGTCAGGGCTGTGGGGGATTCTTGAGACCTCCTCCGGAGAGGAGCCCGGCGCCTCCCCCTCTCCACCCGCCCCCCAGAGAAAACCTTTCTATCGCTATCTGCTCCGAAGCTCCTCCACCTACGAGGAGTCAGAGCGGCGGGACGTCTGCTCCCCCATCGCCAACCACTCCTCCCCCAGGTTCACCTCCCCCTCCTCCCCCAGCTTCCCTCCCTCCTCCTCCTCCTCCTCTAGGAGGCAGCAGCTGAGGAAGACGCAGAGCTTCGACTCCCCGTCGCTAACTTCTGACATTTCCCGGTGCGGCGCCAATCCACGCACCCTCAGCGAGCCGCCGCGCCGAGGGAACACGGGCGTGTTCATCCGCGGCCTGGAGGTCAGCAGCACCGAGGCGGCCGATCGGACCCTGTGTCCCAGAACGCCGGTTCCTGGCTGGGCGGGCCCTCGGAGCCCGGAGACACCTGGGACCCCGGCAGGAGACGGCCGCCCCCGAGGAAGGTGAGTCATCATCATCATCATCCTTCCTTCTCCTCCTCTGAGGTTCTGGTCACATGTCCAGCTGATCCAAACGGATCCAGATAAACGTTTGGATCCTGAAACGCTGCTGAAGATTCTCAGCAGACATGGGAGTCAACAAGTCGTCTCCATGTCATGTTTTTAATCTACCAGCCAGTTAACCAGGTGAGTCCAACCTGCACAGGTGAAGATTGGACTCACCTGTGCAGATTGGACTCACCTGCTTCAGTGGCTGAATAGAACCAATCCATGACATGGAGATGACTTGTTGACTCCCATGTCTGATTCTCAGTCATCCAGAGTCGGTCCTAAAAAGTTCAATCAATCCAATAAACTTAGAGACGTTTCTCTTCCATCCAGGAAGATTTTTAAATTCAAAATATCAGAAACAGCGTTTAGTTCCAGGTTTATAGAGCGGAGCAACACAGCAGAGCGCCCCCCTCTGGACAAGACTCTGCGCTGCATCTACACCTGATGGACAAAAGGACATTCATTGGAGGAGCAGAATGTCCACATTTAGGGACAAAGAAGACAGATGGTTAGAGGGGGGGGGTGTTCCTTCCAGCAACAAAGAACATTTTTCTTCTGGTTCAATCTGCTTGTTTTCTAAGTCAAAACTAGTCTTGGTGTTTTTTCCGCTTTATAAACCTGGAACTAAACCTGGAACTAAACCTGGAACTAAACTCTATTTCTGACATTTTGAAATGAAAAATCTTCCCTGATGGCAGAGAAACGTCTTCAAACTTGGAAACAAATTCCAGTCGATTGATTTTTACTTTTTTGGAACCAAGCTGGAGATTCTTCTTCTATTCTCTGCAGTAAATTACGACACATCGTAGAGGAGATGGTGACCACGGAGCGCGACTACGTCCGCTCGCTGCGCTTCATCATCCACCATTACTTCCCAGAGATGGAGCGGGCCGACCTTCCTCAGGACCTGAGAGGGAAACGCTCCATCATCTTCGGGAACCTGGAGAAGCTGCTGGACTTCCACAGCCAGTTCTTCCTGAAGGAGCTGGAGGCGTGCTGGAAGCATCCGCTGAGGGTGCCTCACTGCTTCCTCAGACACGTAAGCCGCCGCCTTCTGGCGCCACACTTTATAGGAAGCCATGAGGCCGACGCTGAGCGGCGAAGTGGAAGGAGGTTTTCAATATTTACTCCCCCAAAAATCTGAAAAGTCCGTTTCTGTTCAGCCCCTTTGATTCTGAGGGTTCTGGTCGTTCAGGATGTTGCTTATCGGGTCTTAACTCTGGACCCGCCCCGCTCCAATCGCTCAGAACCAGAACCAAAGATGGCAGAGCCCTAACCCCACCCCTCCTCCTTCCTTCCGCTAGGAGATGGATGTTGATCCAGTAACCAGAGTTCTGCTGCAGGCGGTTCTGGGTCTGGTTTACATGGTTCTGTAGAGAACAGAACCATGTAAACCGGAGATTCAGGTTCTGTTTAAAGACTTGAACAGATTCTAGATCCATTCAGAAAACCCAGGTTATGCTTTAAAACCTGCAGATGTTTCCAGATTTAGTTTGAACCTAAAGTTCTGCTTCTCCTCCGTCTTTCTGTCGCCTTTTTTAAAGGAAAAGTCACCAAGAATGAACCAGTAGATCGTTATTTATACCAAAACTAACCGTTCGCTGTGATTTAATGAATTTAGTGTAAATCACTGCAGTCGCCGCTGCGGCGGCCGCTGCGGGCGCGGTGCGTCCTGGCCGCCGCTGCAGTCGCTGCTGCAGCCGCCGCCGCTCTAACTGTGTGTTTCCTCTGAGCAGCAGGAGCAGTTCAGCCTCTACGCCCTTTACAGCAAGAACAAACCCAAATCTGACGCGCTGCTGGCTGCTCACGGCCACGCCTTCTTCAGGGTGAGTATGGCGGCCTTCTCTCTCTCTCTCTGACCCCGACGAGCCGCTCTGATCTCTGGCCCCTCCCCCTGTTGGCAGAGGAAGCAGCTGCAGCTGGGTGATAAGCTGGACCTGTCGTCGTACCTGCTGAAGCCCATCCAGAGGATGAGTAAATACGCCCTGCTCCTCTCTGACCTCATCAAAGAGGTGGACGTGGCTCAGGAGGCGGAGCTAAGCGCCCTGCAGGACGCCACCAACATGGTCAAATTCCAACTTCGCCATGGCAACGACCTGCTGGCCATGGACGCCATCAGAGACTGTGACGTGAGTTGAAGTGTTTCTCCTCGGTGTCGTTCTTTATGCTCCAGTAGATGGCGGCGATGAGCCGGCCCGGTCTCTGACCCGGTTCTGGTCTCCCTGCAGGTGAACCTGAAGGAGCAGGGTCAGCTGATCCGGCAGGACGAGTTCACGGTCTGCAGCGGCAGGAGGAAATGTCAGCGTCACGTCTTCCTCTTCGAGGACCTGCTTCTGTTCAGCAAACCCAAAAAGATGGAGGGAGGTCTGGACGTCTTCATCTACAAACACTCCTTCAAGGTCAGAACTTTGGCTCGGTTCTGTTGGACTCCCTCTCTGAGCTCCTCCCCCTGACGGCTGCATGTCCTCCTTCAGACCGCAGACGTGGGTCTGACCGAGTCCAGCGGGGACGACGGGCTCAGGTTCGAGATCTGGTTCAGGAGGAGGACGGCCAAGAACCAGACCTTCGTCCTGCAGGCTGCGACGGCAGGCATCAAACACGCCTGGACCGGTGACATCGCCCGGATCCTGTGGACCCAGGCCGCCCGCAACAAAGGTGGAGACTGGGGAGAGACGGAGCGTCCCTCCGTCCGTCCGTCCGTCCATTCATCCCTCCGTTCTCTGTGTGCAGAGGTGCGTCTGAAGGAGCTGCTGTCGATGGGCGTCGGCAGCAAACCCTTCATGGACATCCAGCCCAGCGACGCCGCCATCAGCGACCGCGCCGTTCACTACATCATGAAGGCCAGAGGTACGTGCAGGTTTCCATGGTAACCACTGGAGGATGGCGACCCGGGTCTCAGCAGCCGGTCCACAGATGCTTAACCGGGATCTGTTTGCTCCAGGAGCCAGAACCCGCGCCTCCATCGCCGTCTCCGCCTTTGACCACGCCCACCCCTTTAAGAGAGGCGCTCCAGCTGAGCCGCCGGCATCAGGACCGTCCTCCTCCAGCCTGCTGGGCCCGCTCAACCTGCACATGTTCAGGTAGCATCCCACCTGCAGGTCAGTCAGCTCCTCCCTCTCCTTTCTCTGACCTCCTCTTCCTCCTGCAGCCAGTCCTCCTCCTCCTCCGCTCCTCCTGCCGCCGCCTCCTTTGGCTCTTCGTGCATCGAGGAAGATGAGCAGGAACATGAGACCAGCAGTCAGCCCTCCATGAGTATGACCACACACGCACGTTGAGGCTCCGCCCCCTGCCACTCACCTGTAACTCACCTGTACCTCTGTCTGCAGCCACAGAAAGTTCTGGCTCCTCCTCTCACTGCCTCTCTGGCTCCACGGGCTCCGACAGCGGCTGTGTCTCCTCCCACCTCCGAGAGGCGCTGCAGGAGGAACCCAGCGCCCTCTGTCCCACTTCCTCATCATCCTCATCATCTTCCTCCACCAAACAGCACAGGAGACTCACCTCAGCTGTGAGTCCACTAGACCGCTGATTGGTCAGAGCTTGATGATGTCATCAGAGGCGCTGTGGTCACATCGTCTCTGTGTTTGTCCTCAGGAAGCTGCTGCAGTCGTCGGCGCCGCCACGATCGTCTGACGCCGCAGTGAGTCAGCAGCAGTAAAGGTCAGCCAGGCTGGTTGGTTCTGATCCACTGATTGGTTCCGTCAGAACGCCATCGCTAGAAATCGCTCCTTTCAGAATAACGATGTAAAGACGCCAAAAAATGGCGGAACTGACGGGTTAATATGAGACACGCCTGCTGGAAATGAAGCTCCAGACAGGAAGTGAAACCTTTACCAGTCGGCCTCAGCAGATGGCCGCTCACACTGAGCCTGGTTCTGCTGGAGTTTTTCCTCTCCACTGTCGCTACAAGCATGCTTAGTGTGAGGGATTGCTGAAGAGTCAATGAGTCGATGCAATCAGCTGGTTTTCCTTAGATAGAAAACTTTGAATCAATCTGACTGGATGATCTGGTGAATTTTCTCTGAAATGTTTTCAATTGGAAATAAACTGAATTCTGGATTCGGTTTGTTTTAACGTCTCTAAACCGCCACCATCAGCTAAAGCCAACCGGACGCCATAAAAACGCCAAGAACTAAGAATCTGTCATCATTTTCACCTCTTTTTAAAAACACTCATTTACCCACAACATAAAATAACATCATGATCCACCAAAGCTTGTTTTTTATGGTAAAATAGAAATATCAGGTTAAAAACTTTAGATTATTTATGTTAAGTTCATTAATCTGTTTGCTCCAAAAATCCAGCGTAAAGTCCCCCCCCCAGGAGCAGCCAAAGTTCTGTAAACTGATCATTTGAAATATTGTAAAAGAAAGTGCTGGAATGAGAATGTGTGTAACACTTTGGATCAACTGGGCCCAATGGACCTTTGCTTTTAAAAAGGCCATCGGTTAGAACTGAGGAAGCATCTTGGATTAGAGGCGAAACTTCTTATAAAAAAATTCATGTCCAGTCGCCTAAAATTTAATTTTCAAGCTTCAAAGTTTTATTTTGAAGGCTGAAACAGGAAGTGGTTAGTACTGCTGTTACCATGGTTACCAGGGTGACTGACAGCAGCTTCTGTGTGTCTGCAGGCTCTGGTGGTTCCAGGAGGAGGACTTTGGACTGGAGGTCAGCCGGCTGCTGATCCAGGATCAGCTTGTTGGTTCCAGGAGGACCGGACTGGTTCTGGTTCTGGTTCTGGTCCGGCTCGGCGCTCCGACTGTACATGTGTGTAAATAAGTTCTGCTGCCACTTTTCTAACCTGAGCAATAAACACGTTTGATGAAACCGTTCGGGTCCGATGTTTGTTCAGAACGAACCCGCTGCATCCAAGGTTCTACAGAACCTGCGTATGTAGATCAGGAACATTTGCTGTTCTTCCCACTGCTTGAAACCAGAACCAGGTGTTCAGCCATGGTTCTGGATCACATGGTTCTGGATCAGAACTCCGGCTGGTGATGAGGAGATGTACCAAAATTGAAGACGGAAGAACCATGTGACCTGGTTTCACCATTAGTCTCTTAGAACCGGGTCGGGTTTCAGGTCGACAGGAAATGAGTTCACCAGGTGATCAACCCAGCAGAACCAGCTTAATGTACAGAGATCCAGTGTTCTGACCCATTACCCTGCGGTTCTGATGGTTTCCAAACCTCCACTGATGCTGTGACAGAAATCCACTTCTGGACCAGAACTTCAGAATCGGGACGAGCTGCAGCTCTTAGAGCTTCGGGTTCAAAGTTCACCGTGTTTTTCTCCACCAGCGTTCCTTCCCAACCCGTTATATGGACTCTAAGCTAATTAGCTTTATACCTCAGATTAACATTAATTAAAGCAGCAAAGTTCAAATTAAAAAGCTTTATTTATTCTAACATTTGAGCAACGCAGAAAAAAAAACTGGGTTCAAATTCAGACGTTAAAAAAAGACTGAATAAAAAACAGCTTTATTATCAAATCTTTCAATATACAACAGTTAGAGGCTTTTATTCTGAAAGGTCAGTAGAAAAATAAACAGGAAGCTGAACTCTTAAAAAACCAGAATGCTCCCTCAGACCAGCTGAGGGTCAGAAGCAGCGTTCTTCAGGCTCGGCTTCAGAGCTGGCAGAAAGTTTTCAAACCCGCAAACTTTCCTTCACATCAACTCATTTAACCAGGAATAAAAAAATAATAGAAACTAAATCTATTCTAACACCACCTGGTTGTAAAGTATTGACATCCATTGCTTTAAAATTCATTAATCCAAAGATCCCTGAAAAAGAACCTGTCTGGCAGAAGGAAGTAGGCCAACAGAACAGCAACACATCAAACCCAGTCTAGGTCCACGGACCGGTACGCCTGGACCCATTTCCACACCTGAACATTCTGCCTACAGTCAGACACGGTGGTGGTAGAATGGTGATCTGAGCTGCTTTGATGCTTCCAGAGCTGCTGATGGAAGCTCAGGATCAGAACAATAAGAAGTCGAGTCAAAGTCTGGACTTATTTGATTGGATGATCGGGATCCTGGGTCATGGGGGGTTGGGGGGTTACAGAGATTTAATCCTAAATTAACAAGGTTTGCTTTTCACGCCTGTTAAATTAGTTTGACCTGAAGGATTTGAGTTTAACTGAAAAACAAAAACAAGAAATAAATACGAGGTTAAAACGAAACGCCTTCAACCTGTTTCAGCGTCATGATCTGCAGCTAATCTGGATCCAAACCTGAACCTTTCAGATCAATGAAAGTTTTATTAAAACTGATTTTCCACTGAAATATTTTCTGTTTTTAGCTGAAACTTTGAGCTCATCAGTGGATGAAAACTGGAGCTGTTTCTAAGCTGCTACGTCCAAACATTTCCAAAAAGGAAAAAGTTCAGTTTAAAGAGTTCAGACTGAAATAAAGGACTTTTATTTAACCTGACTGATCAGAAATAAGTTGATGTTTGTTGCAGCAGAGGAGCAAACGGGTCGGATTCCTTTAGGAAACATCAAACCTCTGAATGATTCAGAGCGGACATATTTAGATCCAACATGGCTGCCATCAGGTAGAGAACCAATTAACTAACAGGTCTGCTGCACATCTTTGGGCAGGGGGGGGGGGTCAAAGCGATCTGAGCGCGCTCAGTACAGGGATTAAAGCAAAAAAAATAAATCCTGAGCCTGAACTTTTTTGGCAAGAAACATTGAAAATACACACACACACACGTGTGTGTGTGTATTTTCAAGCCATGCCGGGGGGGTGTGGGGGCCTTGGATCAGGGATTGCATTAATGATTGAAGACGAAATTAGATTTTTGAAAATCCAATACCAAAAACGGCCAGAAGATGGCAGAAGTGCATCTTTATCTACCGCCTGCATGAACCACATTTCTTCTGATACCCAGTTTTGCTGCTCAGCGTGACAAACACTTGAGGGATTTTATTGACTTTGTAAATAATCTTTTTTTTTACCTACGGGCAATCTGGGGGGGGCTGGAACCCTTTAATCCCTGTCAGTAGAAGCTTAGAGTTACCCTTGGGTGTCTGCTGAGGTGGACAGGAGGATTCTGCACTAAGGAGGAGCTCTCCTGTTTAGAACTCAGACATTTAGCTTGGTGCTCTTCCACCCGGACTAGTCTGGGTCTGGGACTAGTCTGGGTCTGGGACTAGTCTGGGTCCGGGACTAGTCCCAGAGACCTTCAGGACTTCAGAAAGAGGAAATCAGCTGTTCTACTGCTCAGATGACAGTCTGACTGTCCAAGTAAGTTCACCCTAAGATGCTAAGAGGTTTTCCTAACCCCTGTATTTATGTTGTTTAGGAAACCATTTGCTTGGCCTGGCAGTTAAAGGGTTAATGTCATCTCGGGACCTTTGGCGGGTTCTTATGGTCCACGTCTGTCCAGACAGTACCAGGCTGGACAGGTTCAACCCCCGACGACTAGAGGTTCTGGGACCTAAACCAAACAGCACACCGGCTGGGATGCACGGAGGGGGAAGTGTCATGGTTGGGGGATGTTCCAGGATCTGTTCTATTAGGAGTTTGAAGAATGTCGGTGACAAAGTATCCAAGCTGAAGGAGAACTGGACTCAGACATTTATGGGAGCCAAAGGCCACCCTGGCCTCTCTAACTGGGCCTAGTCAAAGGCCACAGCTGTGGGTGAACTGGCTGAAACTGGAGGAACTCCAGTTCAGTCCAAACTTCTCTCTCAACTTACTTCAAAAAGAAGACATGACTAGATATCTGGAGGCAGGGAGCCCCAAGTAAAGCATTCTGGGAACAGTTCCTACTAAATCACTTAATTGGTGGGGCGCTCTAACTTCTTCTGTGGAACCTCTGGGGGAGAACCTCCAGGGTTCTGGAACCTCCAGGGTTCTGGAACCTCTGGGGGAGAACCTCCAGGGTTCTGGAACCTCCA